GTCTGTACAGTATAAAAACCATTACGCCTATGGAATGTCCCCATAAAACATGGAAACACAACATGTGTGTGTGAGTGTGTGTGTGTGTGTGTGTGTGAGTGTGTGTGTGTGAGTGTGTGAGTGTGTGGCAGGTGCTAATGAGGTCTGAACTTGTGGCATCTCACCTTCACACAGACACAGTCTCACACATTCTTATCTAGAACACACTTCAGCTGGTTAATATCATCATTAGAAACACTGTGTCACTCATCACTATTCTTTAGTGTAACTCATGCCTGTTAACTCTTCCCCCGCCACTGACGGAATTTTCAGGCTTTCTGTGTTTTCACTGTTATGCGGTAGGGGGCGCTATTACACATCTTCTGATAGAGTACTGAATCTCTGGATCAAACCAGGGTGAAGAAGAAGCAGAAACAAGCGATCGTGTATATCAGATCCATATGTAAAATAATGCGATCATCAAGTATTAAACAGCATATAAATGAAAACTTACTGAATGAAATGTCAACAGGAAGTGGTTTATGACTGTGAAGCTTTTGAATGTGTTGATGGAAGTGATCGAGTTCATCTAGGTTTTGATCATCGCTTTGAAACTGATCCAGATGTAGTTATGACAAAAACACAATTTTCTTGGCTTTTTGATCAAAATGTTGCTTTTTTTTTAAAAAATGAAACACCCACATTTAAGTGTTGATTAAAAAAGTATGCATAAAAATTAAAAAAAAAATTTTAAGCAGAGGCATATTTAAAGTTTTGTGAAAATTATCAAAAATGCTGGTGGTGACTGGCAACTTTTTCAAAAAATGCTGGCAGGGAAATTCTCAATATTTAGATTTTTTTGCCCCCTCAGATTCCAGATTTTCAAATAGTTATATCTCGGCCAAATATTGTCCTATCCTAACAAACCTTACATCAATGGAAAGCGTATTTATTCAACTTTCAGATGATGTATAAATCTCAATTCCGAAAAATTAACCCTTATGACTGGTTTTGTGGTCCGACGATAAAATTTATATTTCATCTTAAAATAATTTCATCATATACAGTGAAAGTAAGAAAAGCTGCGTTAGACTATGTACATGTACAGCCAGCTATTGAAAAAAGCTCTGTAAACTGGGTCTGTATAAAAGATGTTTTGTGTATAAATTGTTATTATGTAACTGATTTTGAGGACTGCACACTTGGCATTGCTCAAAAATCTGGCGAGCGTGCATCTGTAGACAGTGCGTGTCATATGGGTTTGCGTGGAGTATCTTTGACGAGAGTAATGATCGGCTGGAAGGAAAACCGTTATATGGAGATGGTCTGGGCGTGTTTCATGCAAACGACTAACTTTGTGCACGTGGCGGCTCACTTAGAATACTTCAAATTAGGGATGTAACGATATGAAAATGTCTTATCACGATTATAGTGACCTAAATTATCACGGTTATCAGTATTATCATGGTATTGTTAAAATGGTTCAAATCTGACACATAAATCGTTTCAGCAAGTTTTGCATTTAAAGTTGACAAACAAAAAAAAAATTACTTTTTTGTTGCATAAACACTAAAACTATAACATTACCAAAGATGTCCGGATTTTAAATGACTACATGACTGAATAGCATGTACGAAATGTTCAAATAAAGCTTTGAAAACGTTTCATAAAATGGTAAACCTCACATTTCAGCCTTTAAATAAAGAAAAGGGTTAAGTCAAAATTATAACTGATTAATAAATAATTACATGTATTTTATCTGCTCCATAAATAATTCTAGATAACTTATCCGAATTGTTTGAAAGTGTAGAATCCACATAAACTGTTTTTCATAAACAGGTCAAAATTCACAGCAGGGCATGCAAATCCGGTCGTTTTTAATCCAGATAGAAACTGCACACAGGCTGAATGTGAATGTGAGTCTCTGTAAATCCACTCTCTGACAGCAGGTGGCGCTTCTGGAGCAGCAGAATTACAGCTGTTTTTCCGTAACGTTCCCGTAACATGGAGTGAAGATGAAAACAAAATGCCATCGAATCGCTTCTGAAGACAGCCAGAACCTTCAGAGGTACATCAATATAGACTAAATAATTAATTTGTATAATTCCCTTAGCACGCTTTTAAAACCTCTCAGCTTTCCGCCATGTTTTCACACAAAACTACACTACTCTGCTGCTGTGCGCACCTGAGACTGTTATTTAATACTTTGCTTTATGTTGGACAGCATTTATTTATCCTCAGTTGTTCAAATCGCAGTAATCGGATACAATTTTAATGATAATTCAAATATGAAACAGTAATACTAACCGTGGGGAATTTTATCACGATTTATCGTCAAATCGGTAATTGTTCCATCCCTATTATATATTAAGTTAAATTAATTAGCAGACACTTTTACAGCACTTAAAGTGACTTACAAATGTGTAATACAACTATGTTACGTTATGTTGTAATGTTATGTTATGTTACGTTACGTTATGTTATATTATATTATACCAACAAACTCACTTCCTCTGCTGTGCGGATGAGCGGCGGGGGCAGATCAGG